GAGTTTAGGGCTGTTGTACATAGGGTTGCTATGAGTCGCAAGCGACTCGACGGCACATAACAACCAAACAACATATATTATAAATACACACACACACACACACACACACACACACACACATACAAATTAAGCTGCCTCTGAAAATATATTGGAGGATCAGCCATGAGTCATTTCCAACTTGACAGAACGAAATAATACATATATATATGACAGAGCAGAGTTTAGGGTTGTTATACATAGGGTCGCTATGAGTTGCAAGTGACTCAATGGCACATAACAACAACAAATTATATATATATATGCCATCACACTGAATACAACTCATAGCAACTCTATGAACAAAAGTTCTGAACCTAGTCCTGTCCTGCACCATCCTATACTTCCTGACACACAAAAGCCCACTGCAGCAGTCACCTCGTCAATCCACCTGGTTGAGGGTCTTCCTCTCCTTTGCTGACCCTCCACCCTTCCCAATATCATGTCCCTCTCCAAGGAATAGCACCTCCTAGCAACATGTACAAAGTAAGTGAAGCAAAGCCTCATAATTCTTGCCTCCAATAGTCAAAGAGTTAATGTGTGATATTGGTACGTGAAATGTACATATGTATATACACACATATATGATATTGTAGATATTATACGCCGATGATATAACCTTGTTGCATAAAATGGAGAAGACTTGAAACAGAAGATAAAGTACTACAACTTTCAACAGGAGTTGAAATATCAAGAAAACAAAAATTCTCACCATTGAACCAATCGGCAACATTATGGTAGGTGGAGAAAACATTAAAGTCATTACAATTTCATTTCACTTGGATCCACAATCAACACCATGATAGCAGCAGTCAAGAAATCAAAAGACAAGTTGTATTGGGGCAATCTGGTGTCAAAAACCTCTCCAGAATGTTACAGAGCAAAGATATCAATTTAAAGACAAGTGTGCCTGATTCAAGGCAGGGTCTTTTCAATTGCTTTCTGTGCATCTGAAAGTTGGACAGTGACTTAAGATGAGAGAAGAAGAATCTATGCCTTTGAAGTGCGGTGTCGGTTGGCAGAATATCAAATATCCCATGAACTGCCGAAGAACAGAAAAATCTATCTCAAAGGAAATGCAACCAGTGTGCTCCTTAGGGGCAAGGATTGTGAAACTTCATCTCACTTACTTTGGGCTTCTTTTCAAGAGGAACTAGTTGTTGGAGAGAGACAGCATGCTGGAAAAGGTAGAGGGTGAAGGAAAGAGATGAAGACCTTTAACGAGATAGGTTGACACAGTCATTACTGCCATAGGCTTGAGCAGAACTGAGACCATGAGGCTCGAGCAGGGCAGGTCGGTGTTCAGAGCTGTTGTTCACAGTGTCACTATTAGATATATTTGACCCGATGGCACCTAAAAACAACAGCCAAAATCCAAAAGCAAACTTACTGCTTTCAAACGACTTCTGACTCAAAGAAAAACTGTGGGTCAGAGATTTATTACCACAAAGTCTCCAAGGCCATCATTTTATCAGTGCAAACTTCCGTATCTTTTTCCATGGAGCTGCTGGTGAGTTTGCTCCATCTGTCTTACAGTGAGTAGCCAAACATTTAACGTCTGTGCTGCCCAGGCTACTTGATAGAGTAGTATGCAGTCAATAAAATGGTTATGTAACTCTGTGTTCATTGGTATTGATATTGAAAAATGTGCTGAGTACAAAAGATAACTAAAGAATATTGTGTTATTATTGTGAAGTGCTGTGGAGTCTACCACAGCACATAAATGAACAACGAATCAGGACCTTGCCCTATCCTGTGCCTTCCTCACAATTCAAGATAAGCTCGAGTCCATTGTTCTAGAAATTGTATCAGTCCATCTTGTTAAGGGTCTTCCTTTCTTTCTCTGATCTTCCACCTTCCCCAACATGATGTCTTCTTCCAAGCACTGACCCCTCCTAACAACATGTTCAACGTTAAGTAAGAAGCAATTTTGCCACCCTTGTCTCTCAGGAGCACCCTGGTCTCAAAGACAGACTCTTGTGTTCTTTTGACAGGCTGTGGGATATCCAGTACCCTCCTCCAATTCCACAACTAAAAGACACAGATTCTTCTTTTGTGATCCTTAGTCAATGTCCAATTTTCAGGTGTATAGGAAGCAATTGAAAAAACCATAACCTTGGTGAGGTGCACGTTAGTCTTTAAAGTGACAACATTGCATTTTATTACTTTGGAGAATCTGCTCTCAAGAACCTCTCCACAGTACTAAAGGCAAAGAGAAGAAAGAATTAGATAACGTATCTCAGCAAATGTAAAGAACTAACAGGAAGTACTCGTTTTTCCCTCTAACTCTCCTTTTCATTTCTTCTCCTGGGTATGTCAGTAAGCACCATGTGTAGGATTCTTTAGATTGAACTGCCATATCACTGGTTGGTAAAAATGACAGGTGTAATAGGAACATGACTTTGTGCCGTGCACTTAATTCATTGGCTAAAGCTAAGCAAACATGAGATTCTATGTATTTTCTTTTACCTTGGCCAGATGAGAGTTGATCCATTTCGTGAAAGTTCGTTTCTGGACGATCTCTTGCTCATCTAGAAGGAAAAAGGAGTCAAAATCTGATTAGATAAGGCAAAATGCTATGAAGTAGTAGCATGAGAAAACATTATCAATGCGCAACTCCTGAAGCAATCCTATAATTATTTTGTCTTCACTCTAATTTTTTCAGTCCAACCCCAAATGTACTAATCAATTAGACTATTCATTTAAAATAATTAGCAGATGATTTGACATTTGCAATATGTGAGCCATTTGTGTGTCTTCATTCATTTATGAAAAGCTTACTGGTGAGAAATTAGTCAATAAAGCTGTTTTTCTAAAAAAACTCACTGAGACCAACTAAATGTCAAGTCTTTTTTTTTTCACTTCCTCAAAAAACTGAACGTAGAAATTCCATCTGACCTAGCTATTCCACTACTTGGAATATACCCTGAGAAAATAGAAACTGAGGCACAAACAGAGATTTGGACACCAATGTTCATAGCAGCATTATTCACCATCGCAAGGGCATGGAAACAGCCCAGATGTCCAGCCACAATCGAATGGATTGGGAAATTATGGTACATTCACACAATGGAACACTACACAGCACGAGGAAGCAATGATTTTGTAAATTATTACCTAACTTGGGAGGGACTGGAGAACATTATGCTGAGTGAACTAACTCAGTCCCACAAGGACAAATATTGTATAAAACCATCATTGTAGAATGAGTATGAGGATCCAAGGGGGGAGGAGGTAAGAAGCAAAGTGATGAGGATGTGTGGGAGGAGGGGGGTTGATTAATCATGGAATTGTACAATTTGATGGGTGGGAAGTGAGGGAAATTGATCCGGAAAACAATGTATTTAAATTTTTGTAAATAAACTAGTATAATTTTTTTTAAAAAAACACCCTGTGATGCTGGGTGTCAAGTTTTATACTAAGGGCAAAGAGATCCGGGAGCATCAGCTGGACAAAATTTCTGCCATGAAGACCTAGAGGTGGAGATATGTAAGCAAAGGCATACAATGAGAGCAATAGCATAGAGCTGTGCAAAGCAATTTGAGCCCACCCAGATGGAGAAGGAAGCAAGCAGATGACAGGTCCACATCCAACAATTTGACACCTTTGTGTAGTCTCATTCCCATGTGTAAATGGAATCACACTAACCAACAGAACACAGTAAAAGTGATGATCTCACTTCCAGAATCATGAGACTTTCTATAAGATTCTAAGTTGACAGAAGGAAGGGAGAGATTCTCTGCTGGCCTTGCAGAAGTGAACAGACCACCAATGGAGGGTACCACGTGGCAGTGCACTGAAAGCTGCCTTAAGGAGCCGACTGACAGTGGTCTGTACTCTATATCTAAGAAGAAGAAAGGTGTTTTCCCGGATGAGCCTGAGTACCTTGACTGTAACCTCATGAGACCTGGGACAGAGGGTTCAGCTAAGCTGTGTTCAGACTTCTGATCCATGGAGCCTATGAAATAATAAATTTGTGTTGTTTTAAAATGTTAAGTTTCTGGTAATGTGTTATGTCTGACCTCATAGAAGTCAACTTTATGTTGTCGATGGGGACCATTCCTCTATATGTAGTTACTGAGGTCAGACTCTGCCACCCTCATGCTTGTACCACTGCTTTCACAATTATCATATATAATACACTACATGAAACCTTAGGGACCTCTGGTGGCCTAGGGGCAAGAAGCTATGCTGCAATCCTGAAGACACACAGTTCGAGAACACCAACAACTCCATGGGAGAAGGATGGGCAAGCGCATCCTATATGATTAACTGCCTCTGGAAATCCACTGGAGGGTCAGCCATGGGTCAGTTCCTACTCTATGGTACACAAGAGCAACAACATATGAAACTTTGGCCCAGAAGCCCATAAGCATTAGCTTTGAAATGGCATTGTTGTTATTTTTGTTGTTAAGTGCCATTTAGTCATAGACGACTCATAGTGACCCTATGAACGAAGGACCTGAGCACTGTTCATAGAGTCTCCGGAGGCAAGCCCATTTCAGAAGTGGATGCCACTCTTACTTCCAAGCTTGTTTTATTCAAAGAGCTCCACCAAACACTGTCCACCAGGGGTAACCATTATCACATTTGACACATCAGTGTCACAGTGTTTAGCATCACAGCAACCACGAGTTACCTACAGCAATGCACAGACTAGTGCTATACCACTAGTTTGACAAAAACCACTTAAACCAGGCATTACAAGTTAAAAAAGAAAAAATGTGTGCCAGTGTCTTTTACCAGATGGTGCTTTTAAGATGTTAGCAATACACATGGCCAATAAATTCCACTACAACAGGGTTGGCATAGAATTCATCAACATATGCAGAAAATACACCCTTGCTGGCTGAAAATGAGGAAGACTGGAAGCATCTACTGTTGATGCTTGAGGGCTACAGTCTTCAGTGCATGAATAACCTTAAAACAAGGACATCTGGATTAGGTTGTATCTTGGTGAAAAGAGAAAAGATTAAAGTTTTCCAGAACTTCATTTTCCTTGGATCACAATCAATACTCACGAAAGCAGTAGTCAATAAATTACAAAAATGTGTTGCCTTGGGCAAACCTGGTGCCAGGGACCACTTCAAAGCGCTAAAGAGCAAAGATGTCAGTTTAAATACCTGACCTCATCCATGGTACTTTCAATTATATGTAGACATTGGACAATGACTAAGGAAGCCTGAAGAATAATGTATGTCTTTCATTTGTGCTGTTGGACAGGAATATGGCCAATACTGAATGTACAATGGATTGCTAAAGAACAAGCAAATCTTTTTTTGCAGAAGTGTAGCTAAGGCGTTCCTTACAAGCAAGGAAGGGAAAACCATCTCACACGCTTTGGGCATGATAATACAAGGACCCTGTCCTTACAGAAAGGTATCATACTTGGTAAAATGAGAGCTAGTATCAAGCGGGAAGACCTTTCATGAGAATGGATGGACACTGAGACTACAGCCATGGACTTAACATGCAGCAAAGACTGAAAAGATGATACCAGATGAGGCAGGAGCTCCTTGTATTGTACAGCGATCATCTATGAGTGATGACACAACAGCATTGAACAACAAGAAAAGCAAGCCATTTAACAAACTCTTACAAAAAAATATGGGCCGTTTGGGACATGAGTTGTGCATAATGATCTAAAATATATATTTAATCAGAATCATAAAAAAAATTATGAAGAGTAAAATTACAAAGTCTTAAGTGTATCTTCTCATTAATCAGTGCCAGAGTTAATATACGAATACCAAAAAGCAACGTGACTTTGTCTTTTCTCTCATCAAAGGATAGAACTGATTTGCAATCACCTTGAATCTGTCTAGAATGGTACTTGCTTTGATGAATAATTCAGGAGAGATGATTATGTGTGACTGACAGTCATAAGACCTGAAGAATTCTTGTCTCTCTGCTCTTGCCATCATAGATTATGGTCTTAAGAATATCATGTAAGGAGGCCAGTCTGGCTTGTTGAAGAATAAAGACATTATGGAGAAGACTTGGGATATTCAATCCAATAGTTCCATCCAACTGTCAGCTATATGAGTGAGTTGTGGTGGTGGTTGTTGTTATGTGCTGTCGAGTCGCCTGCGACTCATAGCGAGAGCATATTTAATTGTGTAGCTTGTCAAACCCTCCACTTACAAACTCTGAGGAAGAATTAACCCATTATCCAAGAAGACACAGTAAGCTTGTGTTTTATTATATAGTAAAAGATCACTAAAACAAAGGCATTGATGTCTACAGCAAATATCCACTTGCACGTATGAGTATGTGTGTATGCTTGTGTGTTAACTCTACCATCTCCTAGACTCTGTTGTTGAAGCTTATTAAACAGATCTGTCTCCAGGGCCTTTGATGTTCTCATCCGGATGAATGGTGGAAGTAAAATGGCAAAAAAGAGGGATGTCTAAAGTTATTCTGCATGAGTTTCACCATGGATTTACAGCAGAGGACACAGATGCACAGCTATGCAGCCAAGCATAAAGATGAATAAACACTGGTTCTGTAGAGCCTCACCTGCACTGAGTGCTGTAATCACTGTTCAAAAAGCATTTTAAACAGCCGTTCAGTAAGCCTGAGACCATTTCCCCAAGATTACCTTTGGAGGTAAAACCAGTGACTAGACCCAAGAAGGTCACTTTTCTTAACGTTACACTTGCAAATACTTAGCATCATTTTAAATCTAAAGCACAAGAATAACAGAAGAATCAATGCTTCTGAGTTGTGGTGCTAGAGGGAGAGTCTTGAACAGATGTGAACTGCCAGGAAAACAAATAAGTCTTGGAGACGGTGAAACCAAATTTCTCCTTGGAGACTAGTATTTTGAAGCTCCGCCTCATACTGTTAGGGCATGTGGCCAGGAGGGACTGGCCTTTGGAGATGGACATCATTCTCAGAAGGGTAGAGAGATGGCACAGGAGAGGAAGATCCCGGATGAGATGGATTGATACAATAACTGAGACGATGGGGGATAGGTGTATTTGAGTCAGTGAAACTGGCTCAGAATAAAACAGGCTTCAGAGTTGCTGTACATAGGGTTGCACGCGACTTGACAGCACATAACAACAGCAAGGCGGCACAAATATTAATATGAATATGATCATCTCATTTCCTAAATCAATTTCTTGGCCTTGGCCACAATGGTATCAGGGTAGGATACTTCTCTGCCCGGAAGCTGTCCTGTGCATTGTAGGATCTGATAGTTGGACAATGAAAAAGGATGACCGAAGAAAAACTGCCTTTGAACTTTGGAGCTAGAGAAAAGTGTTGACTATCCCGTGGACTGACTAAAGACCAAACCGATATGTCTTAGAGAAGGTGCAGCCAGAGTGTTCGCTGGAGGTAAACAAGAGAAAGTGCCGTCTCATGCACTCTTAGAGGTTCTTCCTTAGACAGGGACATCAGGGAAACATGGAGGGATGGCAAAGAAGAGGAAGACCCTCAACCAGGTCGATAGAGACAATGACCGCAGCAATTGGCTTGAGTGTGTCAGAGAATCTGAGGATAGCACAAGATAGCAC